GATATCGGATAGATATCCACTTTAAAAAATAGCTATCCGGATATTATTCAATTTCAAACCTATCAAATCGGATTATATCCGAATTTTAAAACCAGTTTTTTTTTTTTTTTTTATCTGAATTTTATAGCCAGATAAAACTATTAATCTTTCAAGTTGCCAAATTTGAAATCTGTCAGAAGATATTAGGTTATAAGTTAAAAAATAACCTGATATGAGAACAAGCGGCAGACAAAATGGATTTAAGTAAGGCGGAGACAGAGGATATTCTGTTCTGTTGCATTAAAAAATTTACTTTGGATAGATTAGTAGAAAATGCCAGTAGATTATTAGAACCTATCCAGGTAAAAGTGATTTTAAAACCTAAACCAGTTCATGCCCAAGCCATTTAAATTAATTGATAAGCATTTCAGTGAAGAAAATAAAGAATGACAATGGACTTATGAATTAAGTATCACTTTTAATTATCAAGCAATAATTGCCATTACTATCACCAACCATTATCTAAATCGTGAATGAATTACTAACAAATTGATTTTCATAATAAAAAAGCCAAACCCTTAGAATATTCCGGAGCAAGAAAAGTTTTTAAACGCGAAACTACTTACCAAGAAAAGAAGTATCATTTTTATTTCTGATTTAAGGACGGAACTAATGACTATTATGAATTAGGAATATCCATAATCATGACAATAATCGCTTTTATCTCCCAAAAAGGAGAAGTAGGAAAATCAACTTTAAGCCAAGCATTAGCCACCAGGCCAGTCAACAAAAATTGAAAACTCTACTGGCAGACTACGACCCCTAGCAAAAACTGGCCAAGAATGAAGCCAAAGAAGAAAACAAAAAATAAATATTTAACTGTTAATCCCTTTACTACTTTTAAAGAGATTATTCAGCAAGGAAAATTTTTTGACTTAATTATAATTGATGGTCCTGCTTGCACTAGCCAAGGAACCTTGGAAATAGCCAAGGTGGCTAATTTAGTAATCCAGCCAACGGGGTCAGTTTGGGTGATTTAAAGCCGTCTGTCAATGAGTTTCATGCTTTAGTGAAAGCAGGGATAAATAAAAAAAAGTTAGTTTTTGTGC